CTGGTCATGGGTAATAAGCTTGATTGCTTTCTGTGGCAGAACTAATACGATCTTTTGCAAATACTATGAGACAGCTTACGCTAGGAAATGAACATGCTGTCAGGCTCCGCTTTGGGTTTTGATGATGTTCTAAGTCCCTGTGCGGCATAAGCTATATTTTCAAGAGAAAACAATCCCTGTTCCTGATGCTTTTGTAATATAGACCAAATTTTTGATAATGTGACATATGACATATGAAAAAACTTTGATTCATCTACTTCCCAAAACATGTATAACACACCCTTAATATAGTCCATAAAAAAGGAGTATAGAATAGTCATTACAGAAATTCCTGCCAATAATTCAACAATGCATCTTGTTCATTACTTGTCAGTTTCCAAAAGAGAAAAGCAAGGATTCCAACAACGTATTTCCCTGTGTTTTATCAGGCTATCAAAACAGATAACATGAATACCTCGAGTCGGCATTTGTAGAGTTACAGAGCATCTTTAAATCAGTCATTAATGACCTCAATAGGGGAGAGCAGCCGAAATAAATTCCACCATGGCTCCTGGCCTCCAAATCTTTTCTCTCACACGGGGATACACCGTGCAATGACTGGCATTTCTTTTTGTGCATTTCTCAGGCCAAAGTGACTGTTACTTTATGTTCTTCCATTTCATTCCCATTGAGAGAAGCAAGGGCTCAGAATGGCTTTCTAGTTTCTGATAATCGTAGGTAGTCAAACTTGCAATATTGTGTCAACGTATTATCACCAGGTCAACAAGAATTATCATGACATAATGGAGACATTAGAAGGGATGGATGCATGGGGTAAGCCAACGAGGTCTGAGAATTCCACTTTGCCCCATCCTATCCTGGAAAGCACAGCAGAGAGTTTGCATATGAGTTGATTCAAGGTAATCATTTTAGTCCCCACCTTCATGAACATTGATTATTGGAGCTGGAGGCTTAGGGACAATCCTGTTCTGTGGAGCATGGCTGCTTTGAGGCAGAAGCAGTTCACTGGATCCACCGCTGGTAACTGCTGCCCCTGGGGAGGTGCCCCAGAGCCCTCTTTTGAGACAGAAACGCGAAATTTGGAGTTGCCCCCAAATGCCACACAAGAAAACCCCACTGGAGTGTAAAAGACTTCCTGCCGGAGGTGGTGTGACAGTGCTGGGGAAATGTTCGCGGTTTATTCGGAGAGCAAGTAATTATAAGGAAGCATAAAGATACGTGTGAATTCAAGCACTAGCAAGGAAAGCTGCACTTTGTGCATCAAACAGGTATTTGGACAACATGACTAGCTGAGTGCAGACTCCTACAGACTTCAAATAAAGTCTCCTCTGATCTTCAGTTTCACCCCGTGTACCCCAGCAGGTGGCCGGCCCTGGGGACGCGGCATCCCCC